CTGTCACCACAGAAGGACATTCTGTCAGTCAGGGGTTGGTTCATCACCCAGACTGAAATCTGTGTCCACCCGAGTGGCCTGGAGGAAGACGGCTCACAGAGAAGGCTGAGGTGATAATGTCATGCCTGGCTTTCTTTCTCCTGCTCCGCTGACCCACCTCTCTCTCCGGAGTGGCGGCATTCAATAAAAGGCCAATTTGCTGGGTTGGGCATATGGAGATTCTTTAACAGTGGTCTGCGGGTTCAAGACTGGTTTGGAAAGGGCCAACAGTTGTATCAGCTGCCATTATAACACGGTACCATGTGCTGTCCTCTGCATCACTTAAGCTACTCAGCTTTAAATAATCCTTTGTTGGGGCGCCTGGGTGGCTCAGCAGGGTGAGCGTCCGACTTCGGCTCAGGTCGTGATCTCGCTGTTTGTGAGTTCGAGCCCCGCGTCGGGCTCTGTGCTGACAGTTCAGAGCCTGGAGCCTGCTTCCGATTCTGTGTCTCCTTCTCTCTCTGCTCTTCCCCAGTCATACTCTGTCTCTCTTTCTCTCTCAAAAATAAATAAACATTAAAAACATTAAAATAAATAACACTTTGTTTTGGATTTTGAAACTCCCATTTCTTGCTTATTAAAATCAGGCTACTTAATATCACTGGCTAAGAGTTTTCAACTGGTGGAGTCACACAGGGAAAGTGATGTTACTGTTATCTTTCTGTTCAGACTGTAGCAGGGAACAACCATGAGGAGCCAGGCGTGCAGAGAAAGAAGATCTCAAAGACGGGAGGCTCACATAACTGAGTTAACACCTCAGCTGTTACTTCCTGTGGCAGCCTGACTCCGATGTCCCCCAGTGATCCCCCTCCTAGTATGGTCCCTCCCCCTGAGCATGGGCTGGCCTGGCAACTTCCTTCTAGCCAACAGTATATAGCAAAGGTGACAGGATGGCACTTGTGAGATTAGGTTAGAAGAGATGATGGGCTCTGCCTTGCCAGCAGACTCCATTGCTCTCTCAGCTCACACACGGATGAAGCAAGCGGCCGTCTCTCCCAGCTGTCACCACAGAAGGACATTCTGTCAGTCAGGGGTTGGTTCATCACCCAGACTGAAATCTGGGCCCCCACAGCAAGCTGCAGAGAGTGGCCTCCGGTTCAACAGTTGGCAAGGATGTGAGGCCCTCAGACCAACAGCTCAAAGGAACTGAATTCTGTCAACAACCACTGAGAACCTTGGAAGCGGATCCTTGCCCCGTTGAGCTTTCGGATGAAACCCCAGCCCTGGCTGACACTCTGCCGGCAGCCCGTGACAGACTCAGAAGCAGAGCGCCTGGCTAAGCTACCCCCAGGCTCCTGAAGCACGGGGGCCGTGAAACAATCCATGTGCGCTGTTTTAAGGTGCTGAGTTTGTAGCAATTTGTCACGCGGCAATAGAATCTTAAGACACTTCCCATCTGGGTGGATTTGGCAGGTTATTCCCTGCCTGCCCTTGAAACCTCCATTTTCTCATCTGTCAACGTGGCCCGGATAATAATAGAAATGATGATGTTAATGGCTGTCTTTGGGGATTTATGTGAGAAACTGCAAAAACACACACACACACAGAAGTGTGCAATTGTTGACATCTGAGTGAGCAAGCGGTCTGGGCTCTGCCTAGGCTGGGTCTTGAAGACAGCGGGGAAGAGCAGTGGGCAGAGGTACTCAGTGGGAAGAGCAGGAAGGGCTTCCCTGAATCAGCTACGAAGCTTGGAGTTTGGGGAGCTAAAGATGGGATGTCGAGTGAAGGCAAAGCTGGGAACTCCAGAAACCACCAAAAGAGTTCAGCCAGACAGGGCTGTGGGTTCAAAGGAAAAGCAGGAAGCAGTGCTAACAATAAGATGGAGGGAGACTTTTATAAGGTGCCAATGATGCCAATAGGTGGGAAGGATTGATTAAGACACTACGAGTGTTTAAATACATAGCGGAAGTCAATTCGTGCCAAAGGCACTGGAATCCAGGGCTTGGGTGCCCACTATGGTTGGCTCTGGGTACCCACCCTCTCTTTTTGACGGAACTTCTCTCCACACCACCCACAAACCCTAGGGGACTCCTCATCAAATGCGATCCCCAACCCCCACATCAGACTCCTCTAACATCGCCACTGGGATGTCTAAGGGGCATCTGAGATTTCAGGTGCCCAGATCCGAACTTCTGATTTCACACTCTCCCTCTAAGCTCTGCTGCGCCTGCAGCCTTCACATCTCAGTGTTGCCCTGACAGCTCGATATGGAACAGGGAGGACCTTACAGGGCATACTGTTGAAGATGAGAAACGATAGTTCTTTGGAGAGGAGTTAAGATGGCGGAGGAGCACGGAGACCCTGAGTTTGTCTCATCCCTGAAACGCAGCTAGATCAGCCCCAAACCATGTTTGAACACCTAGGAAATCGATCTGGGGATTACCACAACAATCTGCATAACTTGAGCCACGGAACTCGGCAGGAATGCGGTGCAGAGAGGTGAACTGGGACAGAAAAGATGCAAAAGCATAGATTTAAGTAAAAAGAGTAAAGCGTGAACATCTTCCTTCCTCCCTCCCGCTGTCGTCACCCCTCTCCCGCCACATTATGTTCCAATTGTTGGTATCAGAAACTATAGGGCCACCTGCAGTCACCCGCCTGGGACTTACTACCTCTCTGCTGAGAAACAGATCATCTCCATTCCTTTTTGAAAAAAAAAGAATACTCCAAGCAATACCATAATGAACACCCATATCCATATGCACAATGATTTCTTCAGGATAGGTTCCTAGCAGCGGGACTGTGAAGCCAAAGGACTTGCACAGAAAACATATGGTAAGAGACTGACAAATGATCCTTTAAGGTGCTTGAACCAATTCACTTTCCCACCAACAGGGGCGTGGCCTCCGTGCCAATGCTGGACATTATCGATCTTTCTAAGAATTTCCAAGAATGAGGTCCCGTCTTAATTTACAGTTTCCCGACAACCAGGGCTTGAATACGTTTTCATGTATTTATTGGCCATTTGCATTTGTTCCTCAGTGGGTCGCCTCTCTGTTTTCTTGGTTTGTTTTTCTATTGGGTTATCTATCCCAAATTACTAATGGAAAACCTGAGGACTGGGGAAATTAAGTTAACTGGCTTCAAGTCCCAGCACGAGTAAGCGGCCGGGCTGGACTGGAGCGTGATTGTATTTCTCAAAAGCGCCCATTCTCAACCACAAGGCCGGTTACTCTGCATCCCAGGTACGGTCCAGGTGAACCGATGAATGAAAACGTGAAGGCTGCATAAGGACACGGATAGCGCTCACTTGCAGAGGTGTGGCCCTTTCTGCTTTTACCTGAAACAGCCCGGCCGTCTACCGCAGTTCCCTCCAGGACGGCCACCCGGCTGCCCACCGTGACTCTTGCCCTGCGCCGGCCCTGGCTGCCCGTTCGACCGCATTTAGCAATTACACTGCCCCTGAAGACACAGGCAGCCAGAACTAAATAACAACCTATGGCTTATGGCCATTTCCTTAGTTAAGCCAACTGGAGCTAGACCATCCCTGGCTTTCGGTGTGATTCATCCTCCAAAACCCAAATCCAAGACTGCTCTGGATCTGGAGGGGCTCAGCTGTCAACGCAGAGAGGGAACGCACAACCAGCTGCCATCAACTCATCTGACATCGTGCCAGGGCCACCCTACCATTGTTCGTGGCAGAACAACGCCTTTCTGCGGCAGAGGAGGTTTGCAGCCTTGCCCTTTGGGAAGGGCAGCCGACTTCTCAGCAGGCCGGAGAGTGCCTGAGCACCAGAGGAATGCCTTCTCTAAAAATAGAAGTCCTTTGCAGGGGCTTCCTGACTAGCAGTCTTAGCGGCATCCACACCACGTCTATGCGTTCTGCGCAGGACCAGCTGCAGGCGCGGTGGGGAAAGATAATCTGGGCAGAGGGGCCGCTGCTGGGCAGAGAACCCCGTAGCCTGGGGCCGTCACCAACCAGCACTGGGGCGGACCCCTCCTGAAGGCAGCTGCGGTTAGTGTTACGGGGAAACCAGGCAGCTTGGAGGTTTTCTTTGACTGGCAGGTAAATGCACCCGACTCTCGAATCACTCCAGGCTCACCGATCCTCTTGAACAGTGATTCCAGTCGTGTCTTTTGTGAACACGTTAATTAGCACGACTTGGTGCTCCCTGAGGTCAACACAGACACGGCTGGAAGATAGTGCAGGGGGACCCGGTCCCAATCAGAACTCAGTTCTACCCCCTAGTGGCCCGGCTTCGAGAAGGTGCCAGAGCCCTCATGCAGCTCTCTCAAGTCAAAAATCCCAGTTCCTATCTTTGGAAATAGCAGGGAAACGCCACTCGGTCTTCTGTGGGGTCCGAAGCAGAAGGGTCAAGGCTATCGTTTGGTTACCACACCTGGGAGTCAAAGCCTGCTCGAAGGTCACCAGGGAGAAAGGCGGGCCGGTAATGGGAAATATGTCAGTGCAGTAATGAGAAGGGAGGTGGAAGAGGGGTAGGAAAGGAACAACCAGTTGGAATGAAGTGACCGGAAAAGAAAAGAGGAAGCAAGACAAAAACAGGGTTCTGAGGACACTGGGTCTCAAAGGCCAGTTGTGCCAACAGCTTTCACAGAATCGGTGGCCCAGCACTGGTGGACCGGGCCTGTGAGGCCTTCAGGGACCCACCCCACTTCCTTCCTTGGTGATCATGAAATTCTGGGGCCTGACGGGGGGTGGGGGGGGGGGGTGGTGAGTATTTCGGAAGATTTTTTTTTAAAGAGAGAATTGGGAAAAAAGAAGCCCGAGAGTTCCTGTGACTGAGCACAGGTGATGGGGGCGGGGGGGGGCCATGGACATTATTCTAGATGCAGAAACCTAGGTGACTTTATGCTATAAACTGAACGTGTTCCCCCCAGACTCATACGTAGAAACCTAATCTCCAACGTGATGGTATTTGGAGGTAAGACTTTTGGAAGGTGATGAGGTCACGGGAGCAGTGCCCTTGTGAATGGGATCCGTGCCCTTACAGAAGGGGCTCCAGAAAGCTCCCTCAACCCATCCTGCCATGTGAGGACACATGAACCAAGAGGAAGATCCTCATTAGACACTGAATCTGCTGGTGCCTTGATCTTGGACATCCAGAACTGTAAGAGATAAACTGCTGTTTTTTATAAGCCACTCAGTCTGTGGTGTTCTATTATAGCAGCCCAAGCTGATTAAGGCATTATGTTCTTTCCAGATTTTTTCTTCTGATTGATTTGGAGTTTCATACCATGGCGGCTGGAAAAGAGGCACCAAAAGATTCCATCTTCTTGAAGGTGACGATCAAGACGGTTTGATACAGCAAATGTCATACTGATTTCTCACCATGCCCAGAAGGCACCTAGGGCATTTTTCTGCTCCTGGGCTGTCCTGCTGGGATGGGGCAGTTTCTGAGTCTTCTCCGAGATGGTGTAGACGCAGGCAGCCTTGGAGAGCACCAGAAAGTGGGTGTCTTGTGTCTCGGGCAGCCTCTATCCTAGGTCGGCTATCGCGCAGAAAGCAGGAAGGGCCACGGCACATTTCTTGCTTTCCCACCAGGGAAAGGATGTGTCCCAGGATGCGTCTAGGGCTGCATCTGGCTTTATGACTTTCCTATCTCCTGCTGGCACGTCCTTGACGGTCACTCAGGGATCACGAGATCGCGGGCACAGCGACCTGGGACATCCACCCGCTGCTGTTTCCCATCCCCTGGTAAAACGCAAAAGTCTTGGAGACTTAACCAACAACGTTACCAACTCTTGGACACAGTTTCTCTGAGTTGTAGGGATAAAGGCAGGTCCCTGAAGGTTGTGTCTCGGGGTCTGTGTGCTTCCATGCATGAGTGAGCGACAGCAGGTCAATCTCAGAGCAAAGCAGTCTCTCCACACTCCTGAGAGAAAGAGGAACATTTCTTTCTTCTCCCCATACCTCATTCATTCATTCACTCATTCATTCCACAAAGGTTTCATGACCGCCTACCCCATGCCAGGACTGTGCTAAGCACAGGGGATACGTGGAGAGCGGAAGAGAGAGCACCTCTACCCGCATGTAGCTTATAATCTGGTGGGAAATGTCGTCTTCAGTTGGCCCGCTGGATGGTACATTTATATTGTGGAGAGTGTCGTGAATTTCAGGGGGTCCTCGGTTCTTTAGGCTTCCGGTCTCTTTACGATCTTCTCGTTTCTTTGCCGTGTACTGAGGGTGGTGTTAATAGTTTTTAGCCATAAAAAAGCACCGCCGACAAATACAACTTGGCCTCTGCCCATTATTGTTCCCCAAATGCCGCAAGAGCAGCGTGACGTCTTGTGACAAGAGACTAAGGCTTTGCAATTAGACAAAACTGGCTTTTATTCCCGGTTCTGCCACCATGTGAGCTTAGAGGAGTGGCTTTTTTTTTTTTTTTTTTTTCTCCAAGTCATGAGATTTTAATGGAGACAAAACTGTGGCATCTCTATAAGGATTTTCTCTTTGTGGAAAAAGATGCGTTAGGACCATGAAGGCATTTTGCCCAGCGCCTGGCACACAGGGACTGCCTGGTGAGTCTTTGGCTCCCTCCCAACACAGTGAATGATTCCTAGCCTGGAGGCCAGCTCAACCGCAGGGTTTCTCCGAGTGTGGACCACCTGAGGCAGCACCGCCTGGAATATCTGTAAGCACACAGCTGCCCGTGTTCACCAGGCCCTGGGGGCACCAGTCCAAGAACCTGCCCGTTTCACAGGCTCCCCACTTAAAAGCCTGATTGGTGGCCTAGGCTTTTGTTAGTCTGAGGATCTAGAAATCACTTTTTTTAAAAAAATGTGTATTTCTCATTTTGAGAGAGAGAGAGAGAGAGAGAGAGAGAGAGAGACAGAGCGTGAGCGGGGGAGGGGGAGAGAGAGAGGGAGACACAGAATCTGAAGCAGGCTCCAGGCTCTGAGCTGTCAGCACACAGCCCAACGAGGGGGCTTGAACTCATGGACCAGGAGATCATGACCTGAGCAGAAGACAGACACGTAACTGACTGAGCCACCCAGGCGCCCCAAGAAATCACTTTTTCATGGTCAACTCTATGCATAATAGTTTTTACAGTGTGGAGTCACCTGACTCATGTCTTTACTAAAGTACTTCCTGTGTGGCACAGGATACTTCAAATCACGGGACCTTGAGCCTTCCAGTCCTGGCTAAACCCTGCCCCCCCACTCAGCATGGTGGGGGTCACCCAAGGCACCTACCCACCCTAATACAGGAGGATGGTGAGTTCCAGCTTCTGCCATTTCTGGACAGATTGACCAGGTCTAGGACAGGTAGACCTTTCAAGAGCCTGTTCCAGGAGGGGCTGATGAGCCTCCGTGGGCAGAACTCACAAGAAACATGCCAGGCTCACTAACGTTGGAGGGTGACCTTGGGAAAGGCTGGATAAAAGCTTTTTCTGAGCCCGTCATGCAGAAGCACATTGAACTTTCGGGACTCAGACTCCTCTGGTGAGTGGCTGGATTAACAGATAAATACAAACTGAGAGCAGGCTGTCACCAGGGCAGCACCTGCATGGTTGCCAGCAGCCTGGACCACACGGCCAGGGCCTCAACGCCTTGGACCAGTGGCCGCGGGGCCCGCACTGGCAGGCAGTGGCACAAGGAGGGTACCTTTGGTGGACAGTGACTGAGCCTGTCCCAGCCCAGCTACGCTTTGGAGCTGTGCAGCATTAGCAGAAACGGCCGTGAGTTAAAGCCAGAAAGGAGAACACCGGGTACCAGTGAAGGCGAGCCTGTGAAACATACAAGAGACATCTCAAGCAACAGCCTGGGCTATTTGGGAGGAACGGGAGAGAGAAGGGCTGGGAATCCCCAGAGTAAGTTTCAGAGCCACAGACATGAGAATCTGCCTTTCGTTGTGATTCTCTCCACCCCCCGAGGCCGCTGTGGTTTGGGGGAAATGGGTGACATCAGTAAATGTGCGGAGATCGGGAAACAGTGTCAGTCACCCTGCCTAGGAGGATGAATCCCCTAGTCTCTGCCTTCTTGTGACATCACTGCTCCAGAATGTAGCACGCTGTGGTGCCAGATGAAAAGTTCTATTTCTAGAGGATGCACAAAAGTGCCATTGTCTTGATGACAGACCAAGAGACCGAGGTCATTGTGTTTCCCAGCAGCCGCTGCGCCCCACTCCACATCTGTAGCCCTCTCCCTCAGCAGCAGGCAGGGCCGTCCCTGGGGGGTGGGGGGGGGTAGACTCCAAGCGGCAAGTAGAATACCCTATCCCGCGTCCATTGGGTCAAAATCCCATCCAGACTCACCAACACGAGCTTCCAAATGAGATTTTCCAGAGCGCGTGGCCAATTTTGTCGGCACTCTTCCAGAGCTGAACAGTTGTGGGGTCAGAGCAAGGTTTGAAGTGCACTTTGGGGAATACTCTCTCACGCATGACGCAGAGGGCTGGCCCCAGTTCTGAAGAGAACACACCATGTGGGTGGGTTTGATGAGTTCATGAGCACGGAGTTAGATGACATTTTTGGCCTGCTTCCGGATGAGAGATCTTTTCCAAAAGCTCGTGAGCTGCATGGGGAGACGCTTCCCACCCACCTCTCTCATGAGGAGGGCACCAGATTATGTTTCCAGCCCGGCGAGAGCTTCACCCCAGGGGTGCTTGGGTGGCTCAGTTGGCTAAGTGTCTGACTCTCAGTTTCGGCTCAGGTCCTGATCTCACTTTTCGTGAGTTCGAGCCCTGTGTCAGGCTCTGTGCTGATGGTGCAGAGCCTGCTTGAGATTGACTCTCTCTGTCTCTCTCTCTCTCTCTGCCCCTCCCCTACTCATGTTGGCTCAGTCTCTCTCAAAATAAATAAATAAACTTAAAAAAATTAAAAAAAAAAAAAGAGCTTCACCCCAAATCAGTCCTATCATCCCACTTAGCCCTTCTTGTAGCCAGTTATAGGAGCCGTTTGGGAGCTGGCAAGAGTCAGAAATAGTCTTCAAAGGAAGGGGGAATCAAAAGAGATCAGGACAGTCCAGCTCTATCACGAAGTATGACCCAACTCCTCCGCCAAAGCACGGGTTTTAGTGACACCGTGCAAGCCAGCTCACAAGTGGCCTGGGTTACCCAACAGTTGTTTTGCATACTGGGACTTTCCTCTGAGTACACTTTGGAAGCTAAGGCCACTCGCAAATACAAAGCACCTGCTTCTGAAGACATAGCGTTGTCTAGTAAAGGACGTAATTATATCCCCGTTTTAAATGCAGATAAACTGTAACGTACAGAGTGCTCGACGTCAGGCAAGGTTGGGGAGGAGAGAACGGAGGGGTGCGGTCGGGGGAGAGGCAGACCCTGACACAGCCCTCAAGGGTGCATGCGACTTGAAATCCTATCGCAGAGTGAGATTTGGGGTGAGACTGTAGCTGAAGTCCTCTCGAGCTATGAGATTTCTATTTCTGATGACAGGGAATATTGCAGTCAGAAACTGTTAAGCCCTGACACTCCCCAGACCCAGGTTAAAGTTGATCCTCCACACCGGTTTGTATTTTACTGCCCTTGCAGCCTAAGGCTCCAAGTGGCCCTTCACACATCTAAGCAGAAGAAACTACAGATTTAAAAGACCAAGGCCCTGTGGGAAGCAGGAGCGGGATCCAGAAAACCAACTTTGTCTTCGTTACAATGTAACACTGTGCCCTTCTCTTTCCAAACCTGCGCAGCCTCGTGATCCCTGGAGAACTGCCGTTTTCTAAGGAGTGTTTTTGACTCACCTTTTCTGCTTTTCTTCCCTTCAGCTGCACATCGTTTGGAAAACGGGAAAGCGCTGCTCCCGGGGTGCCGCACACTCTCCCTGCAGCCACGAGCCCACGAGCCCACGCCGGCGTGCCAAGACCACAAGGTCCCAATCACGGGGGAATCTGCGTGAGGCCACCCGAGATCTCAGAACCCAGGAAGGCCGGGTTGGGACGCCAACATTTCTTACGGGCTATGACCTGGCCGGCTCTTTTGTCCCCTGCATTTGCAGAGGAAACAACGGTGGAGGTCATCCAAACAAGAACACGAGCTCCAAATCAAACTTGACTTTGTCTTTGCAACGCGTCCTTCGATTTCCAGGCAGTCGGCACAAAGCCGTGCTAAGTCAAGCAGCATTGCTGGGGGCATTGACGGGGTGCACGCTGCTGTCTCGGCACAGAGGCGGAAGCCCCCCCCCCCCCCCCCCCCCCCGGGGGGGGGGGCTGGAAGCGTGTTGGGACGACCCAGGGAGATACACGGAGACAGAAGTCTCCAGTGTGTGGTGGTGACTGGTACGAGGGGTAAGCGGACAAGGAGAGCTTTCTCCCTGCTCTCAGGTCCTGGCCTGACCACAGAGCGAATTACGCGCCTGGCTACTTCAGGGCAAGCTTGGGTAAAAGCCGCTTCATGACCAGGTGTCTGTAATAGCCTCTTCTGTTATTAGAAGAGTCTGTAACAGCCCCGGAAAGGGCCATTCAGGGGGCAAGACCTAGAAAGAAGGGAACAGAGAGGACAGCGTACTGGTTGTCCCCACAGTCGCACACCTGCCTAGAGATCCTCTTGTCTTACCAATTTACTAAATTATTTCAACAAGCCTGTTGTTCCAATTCTTCCAATCACTTTGAAATCTTTGCCACCACATGGATACTAGGAAAAAAAAAAATGTCTCAGCACCCTAATCCACCGGGCATGGCCAACCTGGTCCTGGGCAAGGCAAAGACTTAAAGTAACGTTCCCTTTAGTCCATGCTGTGCACAGCAACCAAGCAGACTAATAGTGTTTAGCGTTCTCTGCGTGAAGCTTACGGGCAGGGCCTCCGCAGTGCTGAGCAAAGAGCCAGAGGTTTCATTAAACTTTAAGACCAACCCCGATGACCCTATTCAGAGCAGAGCAGTTAAAAGGGCTCTGAAGGCAAACTGCCTTGGTTCGAATCCCAGCTCCAGAACTTACTAGCTGTGTGATTCTGTGAAATTTGCTTAACTTCTGTGTGCCTCAGTTTCCTTATCTGTCAAAGGGGGCTACCAAATGACATCTACCTTATGCTGGAAGGATACGAGGAGTTAAAAGGAGCTTTGTGCTTGCTGCTTAATCTGGTACTCAGAAGGAGCTTTATAAAAGTTTGTTAAAATAGAGTTTTGTATGTAATGCCATACACAGCTTGGATTTATTCACTCAGCACTGCCGGCTTCACGACAAGACGCCCGAAGAGTCAGTTGCACGGAATACAACCAACACCGGGGAGCAGGGAACCTTGGGCCTTGTCCGCACTCACCAGGATGATTCTGAAACCTAATGGTAGCAGTGAGACTGCCGTTAAGTCGCTGACCGGTAAGACGTTTTTCCGGGGAGTCTGGGCTTCTGTTGTGTGTGCGGCATGTTAGTTGTCCTTTCCGCTAATATCCCTTTTCCGTCAGTGGGTCCCAGGCCCAGTGAAATCACCCAGCAAAGGACAGCTGTCAACACCATTTGTGGGCTAGGTTAGGCCTAACTCAGGAGACAGGAACACGAAAAATCCTGAACAAGAGAGAGAGAAGAGAGAAAGGGCTTTTCTGGTCCTTCTTGGGTTAAAAAGAAACTCCGAGGCACCACGGGGAGCTACGGGGAGCTCCCAACGCTGCCTCCGGGTTTGGATTTGGCCTGCGGCGGGCTGTGAAGCCTGAGCCACCAGCCCAAGAATATTCCAACTGCATCTCGTGCCCTGGAGTCTCCCCTCCCCGCCCCAGGAGTGTCAACCCGTTTTGGGGGACTCCCAACCACTTCCGTTCTGGTCAGATCTAAGGGTCCTAAAAGCCTTCCCCACCCACTCCTGATCTGGGAGCATCAGGGAGCCTGATGGGGTTCCAAGTGGAAACCTGTGGTCCCAGCACTGCCCATGGCACCCTGAAGTTTGACTGCAAGTTGCAGGGCTGAGCAAAGCCTGCCGCCTAATAACGAGAAAGGCTCTGGGCCGCCGGGGCCCACAGGGGCCCCTCCCCTCGCTCAAAGCAAAGTGCACTGTGCCGTCCATCTCCTCTTTGGCGTCTCCCCAGCCCTTCTCCGAATGAGCTAAATGCCACGCTTCATCGATCGGTCAATAAGTCGTGTTTATTGAGCTGACAGTGTGTGCCCACCAGGGTGTGGGAGCTGTAGGGAAAGATGGATGAGAAGTGGGGGGGGGGGGGGGGGGAGAAAAGCAACCCAGGACAAATGTTAGGGCTTTGTATAAGGGAAAGGACCCTTTGCCTTGCTCTCCCACACACAGCCCGGCTCTTCACCTCTCTCCTCGTGCCGGGAGTCTGCTGGCCCTTCTCTCCCAAACGCTCCACCAAGACCCGGGCGCCGGCTTGACCCAGAACTAGAAAGCCCTTTTTTATGCAGTGCTGACCTCTAGAGGCTTCCAATTAAAAAGCATCCCAAAGGACCAGCTTCGTTCTACAGCCGGTTTCTCCATCTGTGGTGTTGCCGTATTTTCCTAGAACATAAGGAGGAGGAAATGTCTCTGCTCCTTTCAACGTTACCTAATAGGAAATGCCTACCTCATTCTTAGGCTGCCTAACTACGGCTGGCCCAGATTTTCATAAATGTCAATGTTTTCTGCTCCAAAAGGGAAAAAAGGCAGGTCGGAGATAGAGCGTTTCAGAGCTACTTTTCTACTACGGATCTAAGAGGAAAAGTACAGTGCCAGCTTATCTCAGGATGCGTTTCTGGGGTTTCCAAAGTAACAGATGGCCAGGCCTGCCAAAGGGAAAGAACGTTCGCTCACCCCGATTCAGGGCACCAGGCAAAACGCTGTGCCACACCCCCCGCATACAGGCGTCAAGCCCGTACGTGGTCCAAACCCCGGCACAGGGTCCAGATACTGGGTGGTGGGTTTAGTTCGGTTTACTTTGTTTGACTTCAACCCATTCATGTCCACAATGAACACTGGGGGAAAAAAAAAAAAAAGCGTCCCGCCGGACCTGACTTTCCTATGGAAGCGAGATTCGTTTCTAAAGGAAATGAGACTGCGAGTTACAGTCCAAAGCAAAATACCCCAAATCTTCCTCTTTTGTTGTCGCTCTTTATTCCACAGGATTGATCGCAAAGAGAAGTGTAGGAAGGCAGGAGAAAGTACCCTGGGACATGAGCATCTGGGCTGGCGTGCACCCACTATTTTGGACCCCTAGAAGGGATTCTAGGAAGATGGGCTCAAAATCAGAGAAACACAGTTCTGCCAATGTCACCACCCAGTCCTGGTTTCATGAGACAAAAGTTTCATTATAAACGTTGCTTCCCACCCTCCCTAGCCCCACTAGCCAAGACGAGACACATCCCCACAATGCTAGTGCCTGGAAGGAACTTAGAAATGAGTCCACAGTCTTATTTTTACAGATGAGGAGACAAAGATGGGGGGGCGGGGAGAGGTGACACGGCCACATCGCTGGTCAGGGGGGAGCCCGGGCTAGAACCTTTACCCCCAGCCAATGGATTTCAGAACGATTCACCACAAAGGGGGAAATGTAGGTCTTTCTAACACTGGTCTCTGCAATTAGATAAAGGAGTCGAGCTACATTTTAACAACACCATTTAACACAACAACATTTAACAACACTGTGGGGGCACCTGGGTGGCTCCGTCAGTTAAGCGTCCAACTTCAGCTCAGATCATGATCTCTCGGTTCATGAGTTCAAGCCCCGCATCGGGTGGGCTCTCTGCTCTCAGGGCAGAGCCTGCTTCAGACCCTCTGTCTCCCTCTCTCTCTCTCTGCCCCTCCCCCGCACTCTCTCTTTCTCAAAAAGAATGAACATTTTTTTTTTTTTAAAAGTTTATCTGTGAAAAGTAATCAAATAACAGTCACAAAGAAATTCCCCCAGAAGAAAGGCTTTGGCTGGGGAAGATCAGGCCAGCACCGTGCTGAGGTCAGCATCGTTGACTGGGGGAGCCTGGGTGGTTCAGTCCGTTAAGTGTCTGATTCTTGGTTTCGGCTCAGGTCGTGATCTCGCGGTTCCACGAGTTCAAGTCCTACATCGGGCGTCATGCAGATGGTGAGGAGGCTGCTTGGAATTGTCTCTCTCCCTCCCTCTCTCTCTCAAAATAAATTAAAAAAGAAAGAAAGAAAGAAAGAAAGAAAGAAAGAAAGAAAGAAAGAAA